CTAATCTAAAGTTTTGTAGTTAAGTAGGTGTAGCATTTTCATTTTTTTCCTAATTTTGTACATCCCCTCATCTTCATGTGGTACATGGAGACTTGACATCACCCCATCTTTTATTGTTTCATTGTATTGTAACTTTATGAGGTTGACATATGGGTTATGATTCAGGGAAATCTTAGCATTGATTTTCACCTGGATAGTACGATGTAAACTTATTGTATCACATCCTGGTTATGGATATATTCCGTATAAATATGAAAAATAAAAAGTTTTATGGTTGTCTAGTACGTAAAATCGGTAAGGAGTAAAGTGAGTTAAAGTGTGACAGAAACGTAGTACCCGACTAAGACACTCTTTTGTCGTGGTAGATGTCCGGACCATATACAATGATGACGCAGAGGTCGCGAAAGGTGCCGTTACAGGCACCGACAGAGGACTAACCACCTCAACCGGGTTATCGGCATCGCGGTGAAAGACACTGCAGTTTTTTCCAAGTTTGCCCCATTGTAGCCTTAGTCTTTTTTAGGACACGTCCGGATTCCTTCTAACCCCCCCCCAATCTCCTTTTTTCTCTCCCCCAAAGACCCCTGTGGGAACATAAGGGGGACCCCTTCGTGGCGCCCCCCTGTCGTTGTACTTTCTTGTTTCTGGTGTTTTCGTTTTCACCAAAAATACGTACCTTCAAGTGGAAAATTGCATGTCCCACAACTTTTTTTATTGTTTGATTTATTGACACTGTGGTTTGCTGCCCCTATACGTGACCTATACAGTTTTACTGTGTAAGGCCTAGAACTTTTTTTTGTCAAGGGGGGGCTCCCTGGAGAGACAGTGGTCTTTCTTGAATGGGTCGTCGGTCCCTTTCTTGTCCCGTCTTCCGAGCCCCGGTAACCCCCAAGCTCTGGTCCTAAAGCACACCGCGTCCTCCTGGTCTTCCAAGGGGCCTCAGGGTTTGGGGTTGGGTTCGTCCCTTGTGTCCTCTCGTCGGGGATTGGTCTTTGTCGTGTTTACCTGCCCGCCGGTGGTTCGCCTGCCGTTCTGGATACCCTAAAACTAAGTGCCTCGGTATGGATTTCGTAGACCAGTGGGGTTTTTGAGCTGCCCCCAGTCTTACCGTCCCGGGGGGGGGGGGGGTTACTGTATGTCTTTGACCGTGCCGGTCGCGGGAGGTTGTCCGAGGGCCAGAGGAGAAGGTCCATTACAATCTTTTTGTGCTCGTTTTGAACGTATTTGCCCTCCGTTAAATCACCGTTTTGTATTCAGGTTTACCTTTCGTCTTTCTTAATTACTATATGTATCATGTTAAAAGGGTACACGGCCCCTTGGAACCCCCCCCCCCGGTTTTAGTAGAGTTTTTTTGAGTTGCAATCTGCAGTCAACCCTTACTTGTTACCTCCTCCGACGTTTTCGCAAAGATGAGTAGCTGTAAGGTATGTTGTCACATTCGTCATGTGTTTACCGTCGGCGGTTGTTTATCGTCTGTCAACCGGGTCAGACAAGAGAATTCATAAATATCAAATAACTCCCCCTTCCCAAACCCCTGTGGCGGCCCCCACGAAATAGTTTGTTTTCCCCCGCCCTTCGGTCTCTCTTGTTTTTCGGAGTGCGTGCTGTACACTTTTCTGTTTCGTTCTTTTTAATCGTCTATTTAGCGTCGCCTTCCCCTTAATTTATAAGTCGGTTTTTTCCAGGACCCCTTGACAGTTTTTTTGTCCGACCTCGTCGGTGCCAGGGGTACCGCACCCACCCACCACCGTTTCCAAGACACCACAACTCGACGGCCGTTTAAAACCCACCCCATTTCCTATTTTGTGGGGTTGGGGGGGGGGCCGTTAATTGATTCCATAAAAAAGGGTTCGTGAACTTCTTGCGACAGGGTTGTAAGTGTCCCCACCCCGACACTTATCTCCCTTTCTCCGAAGTATAAACTCAACATAGGTTGTTCTCCTGGGGGGGGGAAAATTCCTTACGTTTTCCCCACTCCCAATTCCGTTCCCCCACACCTCCCTACTCCCCCTCCGGTCCCGTACCAACGTTAACGCCGGATCATTGTAAAGCATCCAAATAAATTTTCTGGTTGTTCTTTCTGTGTCTCTTTCGTCCCTTCTCCCCTCCCCAATCTCCTACGTTGTGTTAGATATAAGGTTCGTGTACGTGCGAAGCACCATTGATTCTTGGTGGTGTCCTATCCCCTGTGTGCCTTGGCAGACTTTAGTTCCACCTGGAGTAAATCCACCAGCTACCCTGCAGTATACAAAGTCATTCAAACTAGCTGCACCTTTACCAGCTTTGAGAACACTTTCATGATCAATCATTATAAAACATATCATATCTATTATTCTATCTGCACAATGACTACTTTTACTTTGTTTTGATGACAATACTTTTGTAATTTTACTTGAGGAACTATTTTCAATGCAGGACTTTTACTGTAACAGAGTATTCCTACACTCAGTACTTCTACTTTTACTCAAGTACAAGATCTGAGTACTTTTGTCACCAAAATATACCATGTTCTTTACACTCCTTTATTATCGTTTATAAGTGAAAATGTATTGTGTTTGATAATGTTTAAAACCAAACAAAGTTGCAATGAGGGTTTTCCAAATGCCATGATGCTCTGTGAGATGCACTTTGCTCTAAATAGTCTGACGTGTGCATCAGTGTGGGCTAAATGTATAGTGTGTTGGTATTTTTCCGAAGAGGGACAGCCTTTGGCATTCAAACAAACAATGAAAGTTCCCGAGGAGACAAACAGCACAGAGACCCACCCGGAAGAGTTTATGCAGCCTCAGAGCAGCGGAGCAGAACACAAAGCGGATCAGGAGCAGCCGGAGGAACTCGTCACCAAAGAATTGCAAAAAGGCTTGATCTGTGGAGACAGTGAGAGATGTAACTCAGTTAGTGCTCAGGCTAGTTATTGATACATGGATTAGTTGACAGAGGGATGAACAAGTCAAAAGGGGAGAGAGCAATGGGAAATGAAGAGCAAACACAGTCCCTGGACCCGGGGACACGGCTGCTCAAGAATCGGGATCAGAATCGGTTTTATCACCAAGTAGGTTTACGCATACCAGGAATTTAATTTGGTGTAAATGGTACATACAAAGACACAGAAAGAAGAACATGTTGGGTTTTGGAAGAAAAAGAATTGTACTAATATAGAAGCTATATGACTATTGAAACAAAATAAAAATAAAGACAATATTGACACACAAAATAAATATGTAAGAAATTGAGTATAGTCGTATAAAATAAAATATGACAAATACTATATTGCAAATACTATGTATTATATGTTCACTAACTCATGTTTCACTAGAAAAACAAGCTATTCAATTAAAACATTTTCCTGGTCGACTCTTTTATTTAATGTCTGTTAGTATGTCAAGAAAATGAATGAGAGATGTGCTACCTATAGTCCGTGATCGAGTTATCATTTGCCCGATGTCATGGTAGACTTTATGCAGAAATTCCTGCGCCCTCTCCCAGAGGCCGCGGTGCACACTGCTCAGGCCGCACACCGAGGAGAAGGCCAGCAGCGGGCTGTACAGGAACAGAGTGAACAGACTGCCCCGCTGACACTGATCTGAACAGGGCACACACATATGAAAATAGTACATCACACACATATTCTCTATCGTTCACACAGAAACTCAGCTAAACTCTGCTGTGATTAAACGCCATATTATGTTCCAAACCACATCAAGCATTATTTCTGAAACAGTATGGAGCTCAAACTCTTTCTTTCTCGCGGTTTTACCACGAAGTCAGTACCTTTTATATCCGGCTTCTTTACACATACTCTCTCCAGTACAGCGTTAGCTCTGAGTGTTAGCGATGCTTGCTAATGTAAACACAGACCATATTACTTCCAACACACGTTGCGCATTGTTTCTGATACAGCACATAGCTTGAGATGTTCTTTATTCAGTGTTTACCGCCAGAACAGAGCCCAATGGCTTTGTATTATTTATATAACAACTTTAATCTAAGTCCCTCCCGTAGACATCCTGCTGAATACACAGACGGGGGATTCAGCTAGCGTCTGTATATGGAGACGATAGGTTGGGACGTGGGCGGAACGTTGCCAGGAGTTCAATGTAAAGCCAGCCCACATTTTCAGTAATGATGTCAAGTTCTCAGAAAATCTGGATTAGCTCCGTTGTACCCCCCTTTTTAAAGATGTGGGTAAGGAGGAAAAGAGAGAAGGTTGTATTTTCTGACACTTTGTGGGTCTCCTTACACACCGGGGACACATATTTATGTATAAAAGACATCAAAAAGAGTATGTTGCATAATAGGTGACCTTTAAAGCCAGAAGTCACATTGTGATACGTATACACAGTAACGTGTGTGTGTGCCCATATGTAGTGCTGTATTGATGATCCCATTTTGTAGCCCAACCACCTAAGTTAGCATTGCAGCGGTTGACCATTTTTTTTGGCCTTTTCCATTGTAATTTGAAATATTAGCTTTGTGGTACAAAAATGTTTATGATGCTTCCACATTTGGTTTACCAAGATAATCCGTACAAATTAATACCAAGTTTATGACTTTTGAGACGTAAATTAAATTGCCAAAAGTACAGGGAACATTATACTCAATACAAATCACTTAGTTTGTGGTCTTTGTCAAGAAAAAAAACGTTAAAATCTCTTAAGCTTATGCTAACCACATACCTTATCAGCATGTAACCAAAAACCCATCCAAAATTGTGTTGACATAGAAAGGAGGGAAATGGAAGTGCTAAAATGCTAACTCATTTCAAGGTTTTAGGACTCTGCAGTACTCTATTACAAAAGGTTTTATCTTCCTTTGTTTGGTCCTTAAACATGTAGAATTGTTAATAGTTTGGTTGATGATTATGGTTGTCTTTCTTCAGTTTGTCTTTTCAGCAATTTTGTCGCGGTTTTTCAATGCTCTGAAAACCAATTTTCATGCACATGCCTTCATTAAGCTTCCTTGTGTTTCATGAAAGGCACTATATGAATCCAAGTTATTATTATTATTCATTGTAATGGGGAGTCGGCCAAATTCTCAGCGTTCGATCAGTAAAATCTCGGCCAGATCAAATCGAACTATCTTTATGGATAGCTATCACTAGAGCAGTGTATTCCTTCTAAGGGGGAGGATCCTCACAAAAGGAGTTTACACACTAAATCTGAGGGATTGTGAGATCGTTAATAAGAGAAATAAGAAAAACACATTGAAGCCCGCCTTGACTTGATGCATGCCGTGTCTGCAGTCCTCTTCTTCAACTTATATCGGCTGGTGCCTCCCATTATCCCATTTTTTTTTTTTTAAATCTGCAAGGTTTTATAACCGTGTGTTGTCCTAATTCCACTCGTACTTGGCTGTTAAGCAATCAAACAAATAGATCAAACACATGAAGTAATTCCTTACAATGAATCCTCATACATCGATGTAGGACTTTGAAATTTGTCGCACTGAACAACCTTGGCAACTAGGTTTTAACTCTTAAAAATTGGAAGAAGACATCTTTCCGTTGTCATGCCACCTTACATCCAATCACAACTTAACTCTCAACTTTATACAAGCTACTGTCGATTGCCTGATGCATGTTGGTCATCATGCTCATATTGACATAAAACTTTACTTGACATATAAAGCAACATTCAGCTGTTGTTGCATTTTAAAAACGATGGCCCCTCAAAAGAAATCAGATACAGTATTGTTAAAATGTAGTAATTGAGCATTCGGTTTGAGGAAATTTGAGTTTCTGGGACCAAAAACAAGGACGAAAGAACTAGCTAACTAGCTCATTCTTGCTAGCTAGCTCATCGAGCGGGCCCTCACTCCCCGCCACTGGGACTACTTTGCCTTTACGCTACGTCGCTACAGTGACTTAGTATCTCTTCTCGACTTTTTATTACAAGATATGATGGGCTGGGGCTAGCTGCTTATCATGCTAATTTCAGTATCTCTGAAATACACATTCAAATGAGTATTTAACATAATTCAAACACTGTAAAGTGTAAACATACAGTAGGTTTCAACACTGTCAACTCTTCTTCATTTTATGACAATGTTACTTAATTAAACAATTTTTTATTTAAACTCAAATTATTCGCCGTATCTTGTTCATATCTCTTTTAAAACATGTAAATTCTGACGGTAAAACTAAGTTAGTCATGGGCAATAAACAGCTCCTGTATAGGCTTTGTCATCTGTTTTTCTAGTACATATTAATGGGATGCAATTACAGTCCATTACAAGCTCCGCACGTCCAACTTTCTTCGAAAAACCCCACGCTCTTGAGCTTTAAAACCAAGCCAAGCTCACCTATTCATCTATTTAATTTATTTGCAGACATTTTTAATGCCGGCCTGAATGCATGGCAGCAGGTTACTTAGATGCTGGCATTGTTACAGAAGTAAATGCAGCCACATTCAAACAAATCTGACATTTAAGAGCACTCTCTCACTGTTTATAATTGCATCTTTTACATACATTTTACAAGTGTCTGTGTGGACTGTTAATGAGTCAATCCATTAATAAGGCCGCCTGCCCCTCAGAGTCGGCCTGTCTTCCCGGTTGAATCAGCACGCCTCCATGAGAGCGTCCATTAGGGACGGAGACACGGTTGGAGTGTGTCCTGCGTCACACTGGCTACTCAGAGGAGCCTCTGCTGGATAGACGGAACAACTCTTCATACAAAGATAAAAAAACATCTTTCTGACCTTCACTGGTTTATAAGGACTCCTTTAACAAAAGGCTTCACATTAATTTTAGATGAACTAAACTAAACATTCTACGGATCGAGCTTCAGATGTGAAGATGGGCTGCTTTTTCTGTTATATGCTATTGTCAATATCTTTGCGTTTTAGCCTGTTGGTCGAACAAAAGAAGCAACCTGAAGATGTTACAATGGGCTATTTGGAAATTGTGACGAGTGTTTTTCCATTTTGATGTTTTGTAGGCGAGGCAATGCAGCTTTGTTTACACAGCACACACTTCATTACCCGAGGCAAGTGCTGAATATAGGCAATTAAAAACATTAGAATGACATTTAGGAACAATAAGCAGTAAAGAACAGAATTAAATCAATTAAGAAAAGATTATTTAATTATGGAACTATTAGGTAAGTCATAATGTGCAGTGAAGCGGTGTATTAATGAATAAAGAACACAGAGAAGGTGATCAGGATCCCCACGCAAATGTCTTTCTTTTGCGCCGTTACTGGGGACAATAAAGAATCCAAAGGTTGTGTTCTCCACAAAAATAAAAACGAATATTCAAAAAGTATTCCACAGTGTTTTCTGATGGAAAAAACTAATGTTTGTTGTCCACAGTTAACGCTAAATTTACTGGACTTCTTTCTGCAAATTGATATGACAACACATTGTTCGTTAATCCTCCTTAGCAGCGGACTGTTAGCAAAAAAAGCAAAGATCATTGATGTTAACAAAACTGCATTCCAATGAAATAGCCTTGAAAACATAAAGGGCTTTTAGTCACATTCCCAAAGACAATCTATTCAGACAAAGTACTTTCTAGTTTTAAGGTTTCATCAATACAAGTCTATCTTACAGTACCTTTGTGAGAGAAATAAGCCCAAAACTGTCAAATTATCAAAACTGCCTTTCTCACAGCCTTAAAATCACAAACTGCCGATAAAGAAACCCAACTCCAAGTACTTAATATTCTACCAGTTGTAAAGTTTTGCATTAATACAAGTGTATCTAAAAGTAAAAAGCAACAAATCATTGATTTTAACAAAACTGCTTTGAAATCTATTCAAAGTACTTCATTTTCTAGTTGTAATGTTTCATCCATAAAGTGTATCTTCCTCTGTGAAAGATTTAAAGAGCCTGTGACACGATTTTCCCCCATCATCCAAACCCATCAATTTGAGTAAATATTGTCCCCTTGAAAACCGTTACAGAACTGATTTTGGATATTTGTACTTTGATAACCATTAATCTGCCCTTCAATGTTGACCATTTCCTGGATCTTCTCGGGGATTCTTCAAGTCCCGCCAAATTATGGGTGACGTCAATCCGGGTACAGCGCTCCAGCTGCACCGTTCAGGATCCCAGCATCTGCATGTAAACGCACGATGGCGCACACAGCAGCAAGCTCAGACAGCGATGACAGTTTAATTTTGAACGTGTCTGAGAGCTCATATGAGGCTGAAGGATCGGTTTATTTTGTATCTGTTAGAAGTTTAGGAATTAGGTGCGTCAATATGGGCGATCATACGGTCATGTANTGCCATTTTTCCACCCAGATGAGGCCCTCTGACTCAGGGGCGCAGCTGCCCTGTGTCAGGGGGGTATGCAGCAACAATTTTGGCGCCCCCCCCCCAAATTTTTTAATTTGGGGGGGGGGCGCCAAAATTGTTGCTGCATACCCCCCTGACACAGGGCAGCTGCGCCCCTGAGTCAGAGGGCCTCATCTGGGTGGAAAAATGGCAATGATAAGATACAAATAAGTTGTATAGAAGGTAACCTCGATCGACGAAGAAAGGCGAACACTCTTGCAAAGTTTGCTGCCTCAAAACCTTTCCTCACCATTCCTTTTGGAGGCCAATGTCTTACTTTAACCATTGGAGGTCAATGTCTAACTTTAGCCATAGGAGGTCAATGCCTAACCCTAACTATTGGAGGTCAATGTCTTACTTTAACCATAGGAGGTCAATGTCTTAACTTAACCAAAGTAAATGCCTAAGCCCAACCATTCAAGGTCAATCACCATCACAAACATCCACACATAAACACCATCACCCTGTGACACACAAACACCATCACCCTGTGACACACAAACACCATCACCCTGTGACATAACCTGAGCCATCCGGGGTCAATGTCCAACCTCAACCATCTCGCAAGAGTTCTGTAAATCGAGGATTTATCCTCGCTGTAACTATCAATGACAAAATTGGAAACTTTATTTGTCACTCAACCAAAGGCAATTTACTACTATGCACACGGACAGCCACAGTAAGGCATCCTTGAAATACTTTCAGGGATGGTGCCTTGCTCAACAGCACATGGAAGTGCAGGGGAAAAGGCACCGTTCCAGCTGCAAGTCCACAACCTATACCCGCTCCTTATGGCGACATAAAGCCAATCTTAATTTAAAGGTTTACAAACATGACTGTAGAGCAGGGACACACAGAAGACGGGTGAATATGTCTATCCACATCAACTAAGGATAGATCATCTTTATAATTTAGGATTGCTGGTGTGAGAAAAAACAATTTATTTAAGTTAATGGGGACAGCACTGTCAGATAATGAGGGAAAACAGTCAGGAGGAGACTTTGCCGAATCACTTCCACCAAATTCTGCATATATTTGAATATCTGTCATTGTCTGTCTGGGCTCCTTGTTTGCTAACAAGGCCAAAATAAAGAGCTCACGAGCACTGCGGAAACACAACACGAAATATTGCAGGAGTGGTGCTTTGCTTCATTGATTGGAGAAGTAATGATACATGATTATGTTCAAACAGGGAGCTGGCTGTTAGCTGGTGCTTAGGGGCGAGATCGCTGCTGGGCTTTTCACACAAACTGCTGTCAACACGGGGGTCTGTGCACCGCTGATCGATTGAATATGAATCGGTGCTGGTTTGGTGCACTTGTCGTGTATGTCTCACTGAAAAAACTACTCCGGAGTCGACTCTTCTCCTGAAGCTGTCAGTGTCAGCCAGGTAGGGGGTGTAGAGCTCCACCAGCTGCACTTCCTCTACCTCCCAAACTTCACAGCTAATCACTGGAAAGCTGTCACTTATCGTATAGGCGCTTGCATAATGCAGAATTTCAGCTGTGCATTTCAGGTAATCTTAGGTGAGATGAGTGGAAGCTGGCTTCTGAAATAATGAGTGTTCATCCGCAGAGTGAGGCAATACAAAGCAAAAACTAATTAAGAACAATTCCATTTTAGGGGGGCAAAGACAGTTTCAGCAGAAGTCTTTTTCTTTCAGAATTATTCACAGGAGGCGTTATTGATGATTCGCCACATTCGGCAATTCTCCCACCATTCTCCTCCTCCATTATTCATCCACCTCTACTTTTTAATCTCCTGTGAGCTGACTCAGAACTCCACTTCCATTTGCAGACTGTTCCTCCTCTATGCTCATGTCTGTAGCATTGATTAAATGGACCCCGGTGGGCCGGGGATTACATCGAGGTCTATTTGAAATGGCATTTCTACAGTGTTTTTCCATTACTGAGCATACTATTGGAATTTAGATAACTGGCTCTGTGTAGGCTTTGTTGATTTCTGAGTTTATTTGCCTGGGTCACATGGGGTCCATTTGCTGCAATTGAACAATTACTGTCTTTGGCGTGTTTGCTAATGTTTCTGTGTTCACATCCCTCACCAGTCTACAGCGCAGCCAGCAGAGTCCCACAGGAAGGCAGAGGAGAGAATGAGGAAATAGTGGAGGCGAATACAGACGATTGTTTTTCATCAGCTGAGATGAAGCAGGGACACGATCAAGCAGGACTGAGACAAATTAGATAGCAGAGGATGGGGCCAGAGATGCTGCTCTCAAGTCTCATTCTGTCTTGTACACAAATGTGTGGTTTTAACAATGAGCTCAACACTGGCTCTAATGAATGCCTGGTAGATTTAGAAACAGTACCCCTCTTTGCATCAGATCAGAGGGAAGTAGCGTATGGTCATTAAAAGGTGTGTTGGATCACTCTGTTTACTCGCTACATGCAAATGTGTTGCATTGTGTCATTAATGTTCTGCTCTTGCTGCATCTCTGAGTATTGTGCATACAGATGTGGAAAAACATTTCGACACATCTTTTTGCACCCATTGTTAACACATGCTGATTTTCAGTATCTAGAAAACCTGAAGGCTTTTGACCTCTCCGTCATATGTGATATTCCTTGACAAGTAGCAATGGAAGCACCTTCCGAAAGCTTCAACACTTCGTCATTGGTGTCAGGATGTTTTCTAACATTTGTCATTTGTAGTAAAAAAAAAACTGCTGCTCCGGTGTGTCCCAACAAGGGTTTTGGCGGTCATTCCAGCTAAAGGTCTTCATTTAAACAAAGTATTTCCTCACCCTACGCAACCTGCAAAAACAGATATGAGTCAGGCGGCAGCATCCTGCACTTCAGGTCCTATCAGGCACAGTAATGATCACGCAGGCTGAGCAGATTGCTTGACATGCTGTCATGTCTTTGCCTGAGGCTAAGTACAACCAGTACATCCACCAATTACCCGGAAATATGCTGTAAAAAACGTATTGTCGGTTTTTATAATGGTTTTTACATTTGTGCAGCGGTCAACTCAGGGCACAGGGTGATTATGTTCATTGACAGAAATCTACATATAATTTAATTAAGTGAACGTAGCAATACCATTTATGGCCACTATGAGTCAGCAGAAAAAAGGGTGTAAACGCAACACTGACATTGTTGGCATGGTAAAATTGTTAGCAAACAGTTGCTTATTATAATATCCATAATTTAGAAAGGAACATCATTTATGTTGAGTCGTGTTAATGTCCACCTGACTTGGTGACAGTGGGTAGGGACTTGCCGGTTCAAGTCCTGCACAGATCAAATAGAGACTGTGGATGGTAGCTGGAGAGGTGCACTGCCGAGGTGTCATTGAGTAAGTCTTCAAACCCCCAACTGCTCCCAGGCGCCTCACCATGGCAGCCCTTTTGCTTTGATACCTCTCCACAGAGGTTCTGTGTATGCATGTGTGTATTCCGGGCCTCTGTGTGATGTAATGTAAATATCACCAGAGTGAAAATTGAATTTTCCCTCAGGGATTAATAATGCATGTCTTACGATCCGAAACAATAATACTTAATTGTCAGATCAAATCTGACATTTTTCTCGCATCACAGCAGATCCATTTGCAACATAAACAAGGACAAGACAACAAGATACAAGGAAACAGACAATATACAATCCCTGAAGACAATATGTTCATTGTGCATTGGACCTTGGATTTAACTCCTTTGAGGATTGACTGATGCACAAAGCAGTGCTTCAGTCTAACCCCATAAAATCGTGGGACTCTGTATGTTCGAATTGAAAGTAACAGTTCATATTCTCTGTTCAGGACAGAGGTGAGAAGTAACTAAGTACATTTACTCAAGTACTGTAGTTAATTACAATTTTGAGGTACTTTTACTTTACTTGAGTATTTCCATGTTATGCTACTTTTACTCCACTACAATTCAGAAGTAAATGGTGTCCTTCTACCTAATGTATTTAATATCTTTAGTTACTTTACAGATCTGGATGAATGATGTGAAATATAATCGAGTGTTAAATCAGACTTTAGTTCCACCTGGAGTAAATTCACAAGCTACCCTGCAGTATACAAAGTCATTCAAACTAGCTGCACCTTTACCAGCTTTGAGAACACTTTCATGATCAATCATTATAAAACATATCATATATATTATTCTGAAATGGACCAATCTGCCCAATGACTACTTTTACTTTTGGTACTTTAAGTATAGTTTGATACTACTAATACATTTGTACGTTTACTTGAGTAACATTTTGAATGCAGGACTTTTACTTGTAACAGAGTATTCCTACACTCTGATACTTCTACTTTTACTCAAGTACAAGATCTGAGTACCCACCTCTGGCCAGCCCCAATGTTATTATGGTAAGTTGATGGAGGGTTGACCTACAATATTTGAGCAGATGTTCAGCAGTTTTGACTCTAAAGCAGTGGACAAATACTTGTACCATGAAGTATTACAATACTGTGAAACACTCAAAATCAGATGGGAAGAAAAATGTGTCTACTTACTGCGAGAGGACAGATGATTTGTTTTGTCCTTTTATAGATACTCTATATTCAATATGATATTTCCAGGATAGATGATGGTCTTTAATTACACCCAGGTATATTCTTATGACAGGACATGCTTAATTTTACAGAATGGATGAGAGTCAGATGGTGAGCAATTTACTCAGTTTTATTTGTGTTAAATGCAAGTCATTCCAATTTTAGCTCTGTTTTGGGTCTCCACCAACTTTTGAGGGAAACACCTGGCTCTTTAGCAGATAAATATGTTAACCAGATTGTCACTGCCTGTCTGCAAGCTGTCCTAGGCAGGCAGTGGTTTAATCTGAGCATGAGAGGACAATCAAACCAAGATCTATAAGACAAGTATTTCTGTCTAATAGTGTTGGAGACCCAAACAGAGCTAAAAAGAGACTGAATATTAGACGTATCAGTTGGAAACAAATATGACTCCTATGGGATTATAACGTTGCTCTGTATCTGTGGATGGGAAGCTATTAGCTAATATGTTAGTACTTTATTGGTGAGTGTCATATTTTGTGTTTAAAGCTTATTCTGTAGCCCCAAAGTGGTTTAAAATGTTTGACCTTTATTGCTTTAAATACGGACATTTACATTATTTACTGCTGGTTATAGTATAATTCGTTTTCATGTATAATAACAAAGAAAACTCATGACCTGTTTTGCAACTACATTGTGTTTGTGTCCTTGGAATAGTTATTATTTTCAAAACTGGTTTGAATCCTTTGAAATGTAATGGAATAACAGTTGTAAGCCAGTGTGTTTTATGGGGCTGATTTATGAAAGCCTCTTTCTGTATGAGGCCGTAAACAAGAATTATAGTTTGTTTGTTCTTTCTCCTTTTGTTGTTGCCTTTCATTAACAGAAAAACAAATCTAATAATCTGTTCTGCCTTGTATTTGTTTTTTTGCGCCTTTATATGAAGACTTCACCGAGCAAAAGGAGGATCTGTGCATCAAACGGCATTACTTACACACAGGCACAGATCATGACCTCACGGGCCTCAGGTTGGAGGGAAGAGAAGAGGAGTCAATGTGTTGGTCCAAGGCTCTGTGAAGTGCTCTCATAATGAGGTCAGGGTGACGCCGTGTGCCCCATGTGTGAGTGTGAGTCAGACGCCTTGAGAAAGGGTTATTTCATGTTTGAGCGGATTAGCCTGACCTAACCCCGGGGAGGATTGCAGGCTGCTACAATTTACATGCAGCAGAAATGACTCCACAGCCAGATTTAAAGGTAGCTGTGGTGATGATGATGATGATGAGAGCCTGTAACTGTGAGGCCCCTCCGAGCCCCCCCACCCCCTCTCTCCTCCTCTTCCCCGCGACTGCTGGTGACACAGAGCCTGGTTGTTAAACAAACTGAAATTTGGGTTAGAGATTTTATCTGTCGTGAGGACCCATGGAATATTCCATCATGATGCAATCTGCTGGATGCTTCAGTGTGTACATCCCTCATGTTTTCAGAGAAGGGGGTTCCAACAGTGGAGCGTGAGTGCCCCCTAGTGTAGGAAAGGCGAATTGCAACAACTGCATACCAATTCTAAGCAACGCAATGCACTTAACAAAATAGAACAAATCAAGGAAGAGTACACAGCTTCAAACAATGCGCTGGCATGATTAAAAAGTCAAACAAACAAAAAAGTATAACTTGTAAAAGCAAGTTGGCCTTCCAAGGTTGCCTCAACATCCTAGTGATATTCATAAGATTATGTTTAAAGATGCATCAGGGCCATATGAACAATATTGTAAATAAAAACATAATTATTAATTCAAAACAGTGTTTTAGCTATCATTTAAGAAATAAATAAGACTTAGACTACATAAATAGCATTGGAGTTTTCAAAGATGATTGTGACATTTGTTTGACCAAATTTAAGAGTTTGTTTTTAAATATAGAAATCACGGAAGAAATTACCAAATAAGTAAACTTTTACAAATAATAAAGAATGAAAGGGGCCCTATTATGCTAATGTGTACCTCTACTGTGACATGTCTCCATGCTTTAATGTTCAAAATGGTCTTTATTTTTTCTCATACTGCCCGTGCTGCAGCACCTCCTTGCTCAACTGCTAAGAGATGTCCCGCCCCTTAGCCTATCACCACGGCCGTTTTTTTGGCACTGCCATAGGCGCCGCGGTCGCCTAGGGCGCCAGATCTGGGGGGCGTTGCGCTGGTAGCTCTGGGAGGAAAAAAATCATTTTTGACCGTTGGTGCTCATCCTAATTTTCGGCATT